TAGTTGTGGTTAATTAGGTGTTGGGTTGTGCTGAGACAGTGTTTGTTTGTGCTGCCAAATTAGGTGACCTTGCATTGGAGTGAGCTTTCAATACTCTATTTCTAGTAGGTGCTTTGAACAAGTGTTAAAGCTGATAACTAACCTTGGTAAATAACCGAAAAGCATCGATGCTACAAGGAAGTGCAGTACGTAGTTTAGTTTGTGGTTAATGCCATGGGAGCTGTGAGTTTGAGTGGTAGAGAGTACTCGAGGGAAGCTTTAGGATCCAATTATGGAATGAGGGTAGAGTAGCTGGTTGGAAGATGTGTTTCTTTTAATGAAAGGAACCTTCCTATCAAGCTACATTGTTCAACTTTCTCTTTTTACTCTCCCTCTTTATCCAGTGTATAATGCTTTTAAAGAGGGGGAAACTTTTGAGCTTTTTATCTTTCTATCCTTTTTCTTTTTATCCAGTGAAGAATGCTAAAAATAAAAAATTTCTGATTTTCTTTAAGATAATCCAAAGTATCCATGTGAGTTTTTTTCTCGAATGTTAATGTGAGACCTGTTATCGACGGAATTCAGGTCATGTTGTGGTGCCTTCCACTGCGAGGATACAAGTGAACTCGGTGTGGCTTCATCAACTTTTTATTTGGGTCATGTTGTGAAGCCCTCCACTGTGAGAATACGAGGAGATTCGGTGTGGTTTCATTAACTTTTTATTTGGGTAAGCGCATAAATCTGGCTTTTAATAACATTATTCATCGAATAACAAAAGGAAATGTTTGGTAAAGCTGCAGCCTTGCCTCAATAGATAAGGCTGCAGCCTTATGAACTGTACAGAGACTTTGAGAGAGATTGGGAGATTGAAAGCATTGATTCTCTTTTTTCATTTCCCCTCATTCTCTTTCTAAAATCTAACCTCTAACCTCTGGTAATGGAGTCTGGTCTTCTGTATAGATTCTCTCTCTAACCTCTCTTTCTGAAATGGCAATAAACTAATTTTCCATAATTAAAACAAGTGAAATTCGGCAACATACCCACAAGACAATTTTAGGTACTCGAAAATTAAATATAGAAGTATTAAATTTTTGAAAAAAGTTTATATAAGGTTGAAGCCATAAACAATCAAATTAAGGTGGATCTCAAAAATTCATTACAAGAGGTTGTTTTGATGACAAAAAACCTTCAAATCAATCATCACGATTTTGAGATGTATAAATGTGAAAAAAATAGATTTCAAGTATGGGATATAATGCATCTTGTAATGCATTATTTGGGCCATCAAATTTCAATATTTTCAAGTATTTACAGATTTGCTCGATCTACCACTATTTTTTAAGCTTAAACATTTATAATTAGAGGTAAAAATAAATTTTCAGGCCATCACAAATTTTTTTGCTATTAAAATATCATCTTTTGGCTCTATTTAGAGGTACACCTTAATTGTTTAGGGCCTAATCTTTATACAAACCACACCCAGATTTTTTAATCTTTTATGGGTAATTTAATAAAAGTTGTCTAAATAATTGAATATAAATTTGGTCTTGGATGTACTCCAAAATATTATTTTCCAAAACCATTCTAAGTATTCATGCGCATATCAATACCTCGATTGTAGTAGAAACCATGAGAAAGAGGACTGGATTTAAACACAAATCAATAAATGTAGGGCTAACAATCTATAAAAAAACCAAAAAACATTTAGAAAAATCTATAAGGAAAAGAAGAAACCCAAAAATAATGAAAAGAAACCCGAACACCCTGGTTGATCGTACTCTAAATACTCTATCGAACATCTTTGAATGCTTCCTTCCCCTTGAATCTTCTCTTGAATGGAGGTGTTACATCAAAACCCAAGTTTTCATAGAACTTTTTTAGATTTCCTTACACACTGTGTCATAGCGATTGTTTAATTGTAGTCAATACCATTGATAAGTCGTTGACTAAAAATCATGAAAGGTGTTAAATAATTAAAAAGTGTTATATAAATACAAGGAATGTACCAAATAATTCAGAAAATAATATTATATAGAGTATCATCATCATCATATCTTTTTTTCAATTAATTGAGGTTAGCTACATGAATTATGGTCTGTTATTCTACTCTATTAAGTAAGCATATGTTGTAGATTCATGATTCATGATAAGTTTTGGCAAAATTTTATATTGGCTGTCTACTTAACTACTCGGGGCATGAGAAGGGTTAAGGAAAAGTTTAAGATGATCACCCTTTTTAGACTTAAATGAGGGTGGGAGTATTATGTAGAGTATATTGATTTTAAATAAAATAGTCTACTCCTTATAAGATTATCATCCAAACATGCCCTAAACGAGGGTGGGACAAATTACATTACAACCAAATACAACCATCTATTTCTAATTCGTTTGAATATTGCAGAAATTAGGGCAAATTTTGGTGAGATAGATGAGAAGACGATGAACAAGAAGCCAATCCATAATTGATCGAAGGATCTGGATTTTGAGTTTATTTTTTGGGAAAATATTGTGGAAACCCCTAAAAATCTCATTAATTTCATGATAAAACCCGCTCTTTTTTTCCCATTAGGCAACATTAAAAAAAAAGGAAATATTTCATCCCACCCACTCTCACATCCCTATTCTCTTTTTATATTTTATTTCATTTCTAATTCACAAATAATAATTACATCCTCTCTTTCTTCTATCATTTATTTCTTAGTTCTCCAGGCCAAGGAATTAAGCCCCCTTTGCATCCATGTTCTCTCTTGCTTGCTTTTGGCAAAAAAATGTATATGTAGGGATACACCATGAACATACTAGAGAAGCTTTATGCATATGGTTCAAGAGTTGTGCTCCTTGGGCTGCTCATTGTTCAAAGTGCTATAGAACCCCAGGGCCTCCTTATAATGGAGTGGGCTAAGAAACTCATGGCTCAAGGGCTTAAGCCCAGGCCCAGGAGCTCAATCCTAGAGTCAGGGGTTCAACAATGCTAGAGTTAGGGGTTCAACAGATGGCTTAGTCTGAGAGAAGTTACAGACTTTATGCATAGCCATGTTTTGTGTAAGCTCAAGCCCACCATGAAAGAGGTAGTCAGTAACCTTTTTAATGGAGGTCAAGAGCCCTCTTTTTTGAGTAGATAAGTGGGAATACAAGTCCTATACGTTCAGAAGTAGTTAGTGGTTTTTGATTGCGTTAGTGAAATAAAAACCTCAACCGGTAATTGAGACTTAGGTCGTGCTACCACCGCGACCTCAATCCCATTCCCAAAGTCAAGAGCCCTCTATGTGAGAAAACAAGCAAACATCCACAACATTGTCATTTGAGAATTGGTGAGGAGTACCTAATGATAAATAAAATATAAAACGAGGGTGGTAGGACCTGAAGAAGGGGCGGGATAAAACAATTCCAGTCCCGCTTGATAAGGAAAAACGGGGATAGAGTTACCCAGCAATGGACAAGTTTTGATATTTGGAAATGTATACAATGATATTTTGCATTTGATATAAGGAGGTCACAATTATGACTGACTGTTTGATTTGAAATTGAGTGGTTGAGAATGTGTCTTTGTTTATGCAAAAATTTCTAAACAAAATTTTTCGAATGTTGTGACATTTTTATCTATTGGATTTCACATGCGACTAAAAATGATTGTGACCTTGTACAAAAAAATAAATGGTCTCATAATGTAAAATCCCACGATATTTTCTTTAATTTTTTTTTTTCTTTTCATTGATTAAATTCTTGTATGTTAGTTTTCTTGCAAGTACATAGGCTTTGCAGTTTGTGTACGGGAATCAATCATAAAGTGCCGAAATCTTTTTAATGGCCTGAAAAAATATTTCTATGTTGATTATAAAATATGAAGACCCTAAAATGGTGGAGATTTCATATATTCGAGAACACTTGAAAATAGATAAGGTAGATGATAAGTTACAAGACGCATTATGTTTAGGACCCAGTTTTCATGCGGCCAAGCCCGCATAAATAGAAATGCAGGCATTTTAATAAGCCTATTTTTAAGATGGATCTTAAGACCTAATTTTTATGGACATGCAATCTCTAACATGGAGACCATGAATACAAGAACATAAATAAATTTTGAAAACTAAAAATAATAATTCTAATGAGAAAACATTTGGACCGTTAGTTTCCATTATTTTTAAAAAGAACACTACTTTCATCCATCTTTAAGATGGACGCTTTACACTTTCTAGACTGCATATGTAGAAATGTGGTCTAACCTGCATGAAATAATTTTCCTTATTTTTAGAATGAAATCCACTTTTCCTTTGATAAGGTCAAAAAGCTAAATTAGTGGATTTTTCCTTTATCGGAACTACATTTTTAAGTAGGGTTTTGAGATGTTTTACTTTTTTATTTTATGGGCTTTTTATGTACACATTGGAAAATATTTTCATTATTACAATTACAATATGGTCTATATTTTCATGAAATTTACGTGGCGGTCTACTTTCATGTTTTTTAATTTGTTTTTTCGAACTTGGGCCCTATACCGATGTTAGCTAGATTGGACTTTTTTTCCTTTCTATTCTTTCTATTTTCTTCAATTGTACGGCTATCCAAAAGGGTGGAGGTCATTCGGGGGTATGTCCGATGATGGAAATATCATCTTGCCCTAGAGTTTGGCAATTTGATGTCCCAAAGGTTAGATATCCCCATTATGGGGAGTGTTCCTTTATTTTGGTTCGTTTCCAAACATTGGAGTGACTTTATTTTTTATGTTTTTATTAAAAACTCTATTCAACGTTTCCAACATCCGAGTGCCGTTTTTTTTTTTTGCTTGTCCAATGTTTTAGACGTTGGACCGATTTTTGGTCATGGGAAGAAGTCTGAGATTGACACTATCAAATGTGCTTAACTCCGGTCTAGTATCACAAATATCGGGCCTCTTAGAACTTAAAAAAAATAATCCTTGTGAGGAATTGTTCAATATTTGTGAACTAGATTAATGACACGTTAATATATATGTTTTGGGTAATTTGATGTTTCTAACATTGATCAGCCCATAATTGGGCAGTCGGTATCTTAAACTTCTAGGGGTGGCAACGGGTTGGGTCTAGGTCTAGACCCGGACCCAGGCCCGAATATATTCGGGTCTTTTGGACTTGGACGTGACCCATTAGGTCCAAAAGTTAGATCCATACCCGTACCCGTTTGGTCCCGAGTCTAGTCAGGTCCATTGCCACCTTCATTATGAGTTCTTTTTTTTTTGACCTTTCTTTACATTATATACCCAAATTATTGACAACAAAGTCACAATCACTTGCCATTAGATTTCAAGCCGTCGTATTTGTTGTTTAATTGCTAAAGATGATTATAAGTTCTTATCGTATACAATCCTTAATACGCCCAAACAAATAGGGCTAGAAGTATTTTATTTCAAACAATTCATAGGTAGGAGTCGAATCCAATCAGACCCAGACCCAGACTCGAATAGTGTTCAGGGTCCAAATTTTAGACCCGGATCCAACCAGTTGGATCCAAATACTGAACCCCTATCTGGACTTGTGTTTGGTATACCTGGTGGGTCCCAGGTTGGGTTCAGGTCCATTGCCACCCATGGAAACATCAGATGGCCCCAATATATAACAAAATTAAAAATATCAACTTATTATACTCCGTGGAAAAATAGGAATAGAAAATCTCAAAAAATGATCATCCACATAATTTTATAAAAAAGAATGTGATCATATTCTAATGGAAAATCTTTTATATGCTATCCGGTATAGTGGATTTATACATGCCACCCTTCTCTCAGCCGTATGATCAGAATGGCCAACTAAGATGGCCCCAATCACAATGTCACACTTAAATAGTATTTTATTCTTAATTGTTTTATATAGAACCGAGGTTCTAAACACTTAAATAGTATTTTATTCTTAATTGTTTTATATAGAACCGAGGTTTTAAACAATCAAAGTAGAACCCACTTCAAAAAATTTAACTAAAAGAGGTTGTTTTGATGCCTAAACACCCTCAAATTGATTATCTCGATCTCAATATACATGGTCATGAGAAAAAATAATAAATTTTAAGTTTTAGAAATAATGCATCTTGTAATGTATTTTTGGACCATCAACTTTTTAGATTTTCATAGATCTTCTCAATCTACACTATTTATGAAGTTTTAAATTTTATGATAAAAAATAAAATATATTTTAAAAGTAATGATTTGATAGGACCCTTTCCACTCATATATATAAGACCCTAAAGGATCATTATTAAAATTGATATAGATCTCTAAAAAAATCATCATATTGGCGTGAGATTTAACTTTTATAGAGATTTGTGTCAATTTTAATAATGACCTTTTAGAGGCCCTATATGCATGGGTGGAAAAATATCTTATAAAATCATTTATTATATTTTAAAACAATCAAAATTTCTATAAAATCATTTATTATATTTTAAAGCAATCAAGATTTCCAATATTGAAACCGCGTTTCTTGCCACAATTTGAAGATGGGCTTTACTTTGATTGTTTAGAGCCTCGACCCTATACAAACCGCACCCAAATTAAAAACCGTCCTCTGCCTCAAAGCCACCTACCTTTTCCCGCATAAACTCTCCTATTCGCTCTCTCTCTCTCTAGATTCCTCTCTCTCTCTCTCTAGATTCAGGATTTGGGCATCTGTCCGGAGGAACACCGAGCCATGAGTCCTGCAACTTCTACTGTAAGTCTTGCTTTTCTTCGTCTTCGTCTTCGGCTCAAACCTTCAACACGCCTTTCCATTTTCATTCACATTGAGTTCTCTTTTTCTCTCTTTCTCTCTCTCTCTCCATATCTCTCTTGAGTTTCACACTGTTGTTTAGGCGCTCCTCTCTATCTGTAATCTATTACGTGCGTTTGAAATTGGTTCAAGTTTAGCCTTCTCTGTTTCCGTGTGCGTGTTGTATATAATTGTTGAGGACCTTAAAGTTTGGCTCTCTCTCTAGATTTCCTATCTTCTTGATGTTTCCAAAACCATTTTTCTTTTCAATTATTGAAAAAATAATTAGCCCATGCTGAGCTGAACAATTAGAGCAATTGAGTTATCATGGTGATTTTTGGTACTAGACCTTCAGGCAATTTGGGACTCGAAAATTGAAGATTGATACTGGTTATGAGCTTATCTCCCTCCTGGTGAAGATGCCTCCATGCTAGCTTACTTGAATCCTGTATTGATACTCTCTTTTTTTGAGAATGTTAACCGAAATTTCATTGAGAGAATGGAAGTGTGACATTGTAGAGAGAGAGAAGAAGAAAGGGAGGGGAAAGGAAGGAAAAAAGGAAAAGAAGTAAGGCAAGAAGAGAGGGAAAAGTGAGGATGACAGAATCAATTGTTACCTCCAATGCAAACAGGCCATTTGAGCTAATGCATCTGCGTCTCCATTTTTCTCTCTACAGATGTGCTAAAAACAAACCTCGCGGCCTTTGAGAGTGTATAATATTTCTCTCATGGACTGTTTGAACTCCCGAGGTATAGAGTGTGGTTTATTGCACCACTTGATGACATTGCTAGAATCCCCTTCAACAATAACATTGTTGTGCTCATTTGACAACCGGGTCACTCCTGTTTGTGTGGACAGACTTTCGCTTGAATGGCCTCTCAACCATTTAAGGTTCCTTGATAGCTCCAAATGGTGGCCTCTTGAGAGTTTCTAAGTAACCCTTCATAACCTGCTGCTCCTATTTCCTTTCTCGCACTCCCATCAAAATTAAGTTTGAACCATCCCTTAGGGGGAGAATCCAAATGCCAATCCTACCGCTCTTGGGCTTCTTGAAGTATAGAAAATCTGTGAAGTTGGTTTGGAAGTTTGCTACCTGCAGATCCTGAAACTCCTTCAAGGCTTAGGCCCAAGAGGTCTTGGTTGAAAGGATGATATGCTTCAAGTACGCAATATCATGACCTTTACCTTGGAATACTCTGTTGTTTCTCTTTCCAAATGGGCCGAACAACTGCAGATATAGCGATCCTCCACAATGTTAATCCCAACTTCAAGAAAGGAGGTGATTTGATTTGAGTTATAAATTCGGCTCTTGTTTTTGGGATAATCCATTGCCATTGCGACAAAGCCTTGAGCCAATCCCTGATTAGAGCAGCTGTTTTGCAATGTAGGAGAAGATGGTTATTGGTTTCCTCTTGTTCCTTGCAAAGTAGACACATTTTCACTAGTATCATCTCCCTCTTATGAAGCTCCTCTATCAAGAGAGATCTATCATTGTCCGCCAACCATAAGAAGGCTTTATCTTTGTGCGGTATCTTGAAGGCCCATATACTAGGTATAATGACTAAACCTTTGATCCATTGATCAACATAGATAATGTCATAAAGAGATTTCACAGAGAAGACCATCAGGTCTTAGATCCCATATGACCCTATCCTCTTCTCTGAGCAGAAGAAAAGCTCGGTAGAGAATGGCCAAGAAGGAGAGGTATTGTCGTTCAAAAGCGGTGAACTCTCCTATGAATGAAATCAACATTCCATACTATCCCATAGTCCTCTCCACTAAACACCCTTTTTAGCAAAGCATTCTTCCTTTTGGCTCTACCGTATAGTTATGGGAATTAAACTTTCAATGGAGTTGGTCCGAGCCACTTTGAGTGCCAAAACTTAATTTTTCCTCCATATCCAGGCAGCAATCTAGCATATGATTGGAATAAGCCTCGGTGGTCTTAATACGTCCCCAAACAGGGTAGACGGACGGGCTACTTCTTCTACTTCTTGTCAGGATCCCTGTGACATTAAGGACATATTTATTATGTACCCGGACCCATAGTTGATTATGATACTGAGCCAATCTCCACTACGTCTTAGTGAGCAACGCTTTATTAAAAGGTTTTAGTCATCTAATACCTAGGCACCTTTCTTTTTTCGTAAGCAACTTTACTCCACTTTACCAAGTTAAACTTCCTCTTTTCTGCAAACCCACTCCACAAGAATTGCCTCATTAATCCTTCTAATTACTTAATTAGCCTGGCAAGGGCTCTGAACAAGGAGAAAAAGTAAACTGGAAAGTTAGCCAATGTGGATTTAATGAGTGTAATACTTCTCAAAACGAGATACTACTCTTCAGCCATCCAGTTTATTGCAGAATCTAGTAATGATTGGGTCCCATGAAGATGAAGATAGTCTGCTATCGAATAACAAAATTCCCATGTATTTGGAAGGAAGAGTATCACTCTCACAACCCAGCTATTGTGCCCATTCTCTAATGTCTGCCTCCTCACAATCAATACCCATAAGCTTTGTCTTATTCATAAGGATTGTGGCAGATCAGTTGGTAGCACTTAAGGAAAGTCAAACATGTTGTATATGAGACCAATCCTCTTTAGTGAGAAGTATCATCTGCATACTACAAATGGGATATTAATGGGCCCTTATGTGATGCTGGTAGGCCTTGTAGCTGTCCTCTAGTTTTTTTTTTTAATGTTAACTTTTGTATTAAAACAAAAAATATTTACATGAAGAAACGACTACCGACAGCATCCCACATATTGGGTGCTCAGATTACATACAAAAAGTGCAAAAAGTGCAAGAATGCTCGCGGGGGAAAGGTAGAAATTACTAATTAGATGACAGAAAGAGCAAGACTGCTTATGGGGGAGAAGGAGAAATTACCAAGTAGGAGACACTACTGAGGACTCTGTTACAGCGTGAGCAAAAGTGTGTGTTGTTTTAGCTTGACGTCATTGCAGTTCTATGTCTCAAAGAAAGAAATAGAGGGGTAGGGGTAGAGGGAGAGAGTATGTGTTGCTTGGGAAAAATTGATAGCTCTCATCCTGAGGGACTGGTAGTTCAAGGAGAGTGTTGCTGGGCCGGGTCTTGAGGGGCATCAGACCTGTGATGCCGGACGATCTTGCTCACCGGGTCTTGAGGGGCAGCCGCCGATTAAGCATATTCATAAGCATAAGACAAAATGACTTAGCCACCAATTTATAGAGGAAAGGAGAGAGGGGTCTCCTTGCCCGAGTCCCCTTGCAGCTTTTTGAAATATCCCATTGCTTTGCCCTTCACCAAGACTGATAAATGGGCTGAACAGAGACAACCCTGAATCCAAGTCCTCCATTTTTGTCCAAGTAGTCCCACTCAACCCTGTCATAAGCTTGCTTGAAATCTAATTTGCATAAAATCCTCTTAATTCCAGTTTTTTTAACATGGTGGATGGTTTCTTGAGTTACCAAAATCATTACCATCATCATCATCAAAGCCTTTTCTCAACTATTTTGGATCGACGACACGAATCTTGGTCTGCCATTCTGCTGTATCAAGGGCCATACCCTCAGTGAGGCCATAAGTCCCCATATCTTTATTCACTACTTCCAACCATGTCCTTTTGAGATTACCCCTTGCCCTTTTTGAGCCTTCCACTTGAACCAACACATACCACCTAAAAGGTGTTGTACTGGGTCTGCACTGCACATGGCCAGAATGCTATCTAGAATTTGTCTATCTTTGTTAAAGGCACTTTGATGCCCACTAATGATCTCCTGAGTAACGGTTTTGAGCCAATTAGCCAGGGCCATGGCTAGGATCGTATAGATTGAAGAAAGAAGACTAATAGGACGTATGTCTTGAAGAGTTTGAATTGCCTTCTTTTTAATAACGAGTGAGATGAAGGTGGAATTGATGGCTTTATTCACCACCCCCGTACTATAGAATTCCCTGAAGAATACCAAAAAGTCTAATTTTATAACGTCCCAATACTCTTGAAAAAGGCTATTTGGAAGCCATCAGGCCCTGGGCTTTGTCCCTGGAGGGAAAATAGGGCTTCCTTAATCTCATATTTTGACTCCTTTTCTAAAGCTAGCGCATGGTTCGGAGAGAGTTTCTCAAAGGGTGTCTCCTCAAGATTGAAGGGGAGTTTGGGCTCAGAGGTGTAGGCCTTTGTGAAAAATTGGATTATGGCTCTTTCCTTCCCTTCCCAATCATCGTCTTGTACTTCTGGAATCTCAATCCCTGAAATGCTGTTCCTCCCCCGTCTAGAGTTTGCAATTGCATGAAAGTACTTGTGTTATTGTCCAATTCCTTAACTCTGATCAAGATCGAAACCAATAAATCTCCTCACGTATTAGCAAGTCGTCCAACTCAGTACATTTGGCCTCCTTACTCAATTTCTGATCCTCTGATAGACCATTTTTCTGCTCCCATCTATTTAAATCATTGGTGATCTGCTTGACTTCAGCAAGCTTGGATTTGAGTTGGCCAAATTTTGCTCCACTTCACAGTCTAAGTCTATGTTTAAGGATTTGCAGCTTCTTGGCAATTACATGACCTCTCCAACCTTGTCCATAAGTGTTTTGCCACAACAATAAAACTTCATTCTGTAAGAACTGCTTTATAGCTGCATCAATTCAAACCTAAATGGTGGAGGGCCATAGATATCCCCTTCCATCCTCAAAAGCAGGGGTGTGATCAAACGTGCAATTGGGTAGGGCCTTAACTTCTGTTTTAGGCCACAAGTTTTCTCAGGATGGTGTAGCGAGGAATCTGTCTAATTTTGATATATAAGGATGGGTGGTGGAGTTATCGGACCACGTGTATTTAACAACCTGAATATGGAAGTCAATTAATTCATTGGTGCAAATGAATTTGTAGAAATTAGACATGGCAGGTGTGATTTTATTAATTGCATTCAATTCATGCGGCCAGACTAGTCTGGTTAAAATCACCCTCCCCACGGCATGGTACAT